TGTTGGTCACGAGATTTTTTTTTAAACCATACTTCACCGCACTGTTCAATTCGGGTTGGTGAAGGGTGGGGGGAGATCCAGGACTGGTTCGGGTATCACTCCCCCACTGATACTAGCCATTTCTGGGAGCCGATCTCAGGTGACTAGGTTTAACAGTGCAGTTCGCTAACCACTGCACCACTGCTCCACCTTCACCACGCTGGTGAGTGTGGGTCATGTTCTCCAACATCTACTGATTGGGCCAGATATGTTTAAGCTTCATGATGAATGTTTTTTTTCGGTAAAAATGTTTTTTTTCTGTGCTAAACAAGTGGTGTGACGCGTGTCTGATATTTCTTCGGGACATCGAAAGTGGCACTTTCAAGTGCTGACCGCGATCAAGTTTTTGCTTTCTCTAGCGGGGGCCGTCTCCTGAAAACCAATAGGGCAATCGCACAAATATCGACACGGACGTTTGATTCACGCCGGAAGAAGCCGGCGAGCAAAGGACCTCTTGTTCAGGAGGCGTCCAGCCAAAAGCTCATGCGGTCCGAAATGGCGGAACATTACAGAGGAGGTTAAATAGGCAGATACAAATGTCACTGGTTGCAGAGCGGAAGAAAAAAAAACAGGAGCGTTTAGGCTTTCAATTCATTACGCAACCAAGAACGGTCACACATTAACATGGATTCTATAATACTTTCCAACGTGCTTTTTATCCTCAAAAGTATTGAGATAATTTAGATGCATTGAGATAATTTAGATTATTTTGCTGCTATGAATGTCCAAATGATGGGGCCACTTTGTTGAGCTGTCATTCGTGGCCAGGTCGCTTCTGAAAAACAAGTTACTACCTCGGTGGGCTTTGCCTGGTAGGATGGGGATGGTTTAGTTTTATTTGTAGGTGTTTGGCTGATTTGTTACCTTTCTTGTACTGTGCACCACTATCATGTTTTTGTATTGTTTGTTGTTGTAACGTTCTTACCCGCCCCTACTGGACATCTGTGAAAAGGAGCTTTATAGCTCATCGGATTCCCCCAGTATAAATAAATACTCTGATTCTGATTTATCAGTGGCAGGGAAACTGGTCCTGCATATTTGTAAGTATTCCTTTTAGTGCTTTATACTAAAGTTAAATCTATATATTTGTTTTTATTGGACCACCGTTATAAGAGTTATCGTGACCGCGTGTTATATACAAACACAGCGAATCGCGTCGATGCTTCCCAACCTTAGTTTGGAGAGATTTTTTGTTATATGTTTAAAACGACGACCTCGTAGAATCAGTCGCAGTTAATGCGAAAGTTCTCGAGACCTCTGCACACGAAAACCCACGCCTGCCGGCATCTGCCGTGACCAATCTAAAACGTTCGTGGATTGACCCAATATTGGCTGAGCCACGTTAAAAAAGAAAGGTGGTCCGTAAATCATTTATTGCAGCGCGTGGTGGTTCGCTGCTGCGAAAAACCCTTAGAGTCGTGTGCAGTTTCCTCCTGTTTATGTTGACCGGCCACGCTGATATTAATCCTCATCCAACCCACAGCCTTTAGCGAGCACATCAACCACCGGCGCAAATTCCTGTTTCTGGAAATACGCCTGGGGAGTCACCTCGGTGGAATAAGTTGGGTGGAGAATGTGGGATGGGAGGAGGTGGGGGGGGGTTCCATTACTCAGTAAGTCCAATGTGATTTATTATATCGATGGTTCGTATGATGGATAGCCATAGTTAGTGTTAAAGTGAATCGGATTACGTCTTATTCTCTAAAGGTATAAGCTAGGGATGCTTCTGCTCAAACAACACCGCACCTCGTCAGCGAACAATTCGTCAAAAAAGATGGAATGTGACGAGGATAAATTTGAGTTTTGGAGCCACAAGGGTGGACTCTCTGGCGAAACGACGAACAGGAGTTTATGGCCCGTGTTATTACGAACAAGCAGCATCCACAGCAATGTCACCGCCATTTGCCGATGCCAGTCCTGGGTGTTCTTGGTGAACCCGGGATGACTGCCAGGTGCACACCCGCGCTGTGGCATCTTGCTGCGCTCTATCGCGCTCACAAACCGCAATGATGTTCGGCGTTACGCTTGTGGTGGCAGTGGGCTGCCGTACGTTTCGCAAGGCACTCTGGGGAAGGGGGGGGGGGTGGTTGGGGGGGGGGGGGGGGGTGGAAACTTGCGTGAGTTTGGTCACAAAAGACCGAGAGTGCCTTTTTTTTTCCTTCCAAAAGTGTCAGCAAGCCGAGCACAAACTGTGGCCATCCGTTAATGTCAGAGGGCGCGCCGTTTGGACCCATCGCTTGGACGTGCGTTCGATGCTGAGCGGTTAAACAACAAAACGGTCCTGCTCCCCGTTAGGAAAGGACACGCCACCTGCTCTCATAATCATCCCAGTTATCGCCATTGTTCCTCCATCCCCTTTGGTCGCATGCAGAGCTCGAGTGCTGAACTCCCATCGAGCTGCACTGCGAGTAATTTGTGTGCCTGTTTCTACGCTTGCCCCGTGCGTGCCGGGTGCGTACGAGCGAGAGAACGTGTTGTTTCAGCTCGACGAGTGCGCGTGTTGCGAGTTACAGCGAGTCGGTTTCCAACGAGGTTTAAAGCGCGTTCGTCTTAAACGGCAGTGGCGTTGCTGATGTGTATAAACATTTAAGCACGAAAATTGTCGGTGGGAAGAAAAAAATGCGACTTGGGCGTGTGAACGGTGTGTTCGACACGTGCGGGGGCGTGTGTGTGTGTGGGTGCTTCGTAGGTGCGTGTGGGTGGGTGCGTGTGTGGGTGTTGGGTGTGTGTGTGGGTGCGTGTGTGTGTGTGTGGGCGCGTGTGCGTGTGTGTGGGTGCGTGTGTGGGTGTTGGGTGTGTGTGGGTGCGTGTGTGGGTGTTGGGTGTGTGTGTGTGGGTGCTTGGTAGGTGCGTGCGTGTGGGTGTGTGTGCTGGCCTGCCTACGATCCATCCTGGGTTTAATCAGGCTGGATTGTGTAAGGAGCTCACAAATCCTTGAAAGATCTGGACAAAGTCCCATCGGTGAGCTCCTCCTGCAGGCAAGGCTGCGATGGCTGGGTCATGTAGCCCGCATGCCCAGCCACCGCATGCCGAAACAGCTTTTGTTCGGCCGGATCGAGGGGGCTAAACGGGCGCGGCACGGGCTAGAGAAGAGAAGGAGTGATGTGGTACAGGAGGACGTGGAGCTGAGTGGACTTGCCGATGACTGGTACCAGCGATGTCAAGATCGGCCTCTGTGGAGGAGGCTCGTGAAGGACGCTACTGGGCAGTTGGAGGCATTCGCCCTCCAACAACAACGGAGGACGGAGGAGCGACGCTCACAACAACGAGCGGTGCGCCGGGTGGCTAAAGCACAGCAAGTTGGCACAGCAGGGGGCACAGGTGGTGCATCAGCCACTCATCTCAGTCAGTCGACCCGTGGCATCTGGGTCTGCGTTCGACACTTCAAGTGGCCTGAACGTGCACATAGCCTGGCACAAGCGTCGTGGTGACGTCACCGCCACTTAGTGGCGAATGGCGGTTGTTGTTGTTGTGTGTGTGGGTATTGGGTGGGTCCGTGTGTGTTTGGTAGGGGTGTGCGGGTGTTGGGTGGGTGGGTGTGTGTGTGTTTGGTAGGTGTGTGTGGGTGTTGGGTGGGTGCGTGTGTGTGTGTTTGGTAGGTGTGTGTGGGTGTTGGGTGGGTGCGTGTGTGGCTGGGTGCATTATTAACGCGTGGTTTGATGATACCTTCATGTGAGTAAAACGAGGTCGATTTTTTCGCGTATTCAAATTTCGATTGAAACAGCGTGGGGCGACACTGTCGCACTGGTGGGTCAATACGGTACAATGAGTAGTGGTGGGACGCGCGGGGGTGTGTATGTGTGTCTATGTGTGTGAGTGTGTGTGTCTATGTGTGTGAGTGTGTGTGTCTGTGTGTGTGGGGGAGCGGTAGTGCAGCGGTTAGCGCTACGCTGCGCTATGCACCTGGCGACCCGGGTTCGATTCCCGCTCACGGCCATCACCCGTGACGATGATCTGAACCGGTCCTGGGCCTCCCCTAGGTCGACTCAGCCTCAAATGAGTACCTCGTGCGATGTGTAAACATCGTCACTAGGAAGACAAAGGCGACCGGGCGTGGTGTTGGCCACCCACCCCCTCGTGTGCCGTGCCGGCCTTTATAAATGCTCGCTAACAACACTTGCCCATACAGTCTGTTTCGGCTACACGGGAATCTTAGTTTTAGTACACTCGTGGAGAGCGGTAGTTTAGTGGTTAGCGCGCTGCGCTACGAACCCGGTGGACAGAATTCGATTCCCGCTCACAGCCAACAACAGAGGCGATTTTCTGAATCGGTCCTGGGCCTCCCCTAGGTCGACTCAGCCTCAAATGAGTACCTGGTGCAGTATGCAAATATTGTCACCAGGAAGACAAAGGCGGCCGGGGCGTGGTTGCTAGCCACCCACCCTTGCGTGCCGGCCTTTATAGGTTCTCGCTAACAGCACTTGCCCCAACGGAATGTTAAGGCCATAGGGCTATCTTTGTCTTTAGTACACGCGCGTGTGTTGCGTGCTGTTAACGAGCACCTTTGAAGGCCGGCGATGTTCACACGTCATCGACAGCTACTCATTTGAGGCTGAGTCGACCTACGGGAGGCCCGCGACAGGTTCACATAAACGTCACTGGTGGAGGCCACGCGAGCGGGCGGGAATCGATCTCGCTGAATGAACACACACGGTGCGCGTGTAGGCGCGCGTGCTTGTTGTGTATGTAAGTGTGCGTACCTGAGTGAGTCTGTATGTCTTTCGTACGCACGTGTGTGTGTGTATGTTCAGATGCGTGCGCATGTAGACTACCGCGAGCATCGCTTCCTTACGTGCTTATGCATGCGCGCGTGCACGCGGGGTGTTCTCAAAACAACACTTGCCACGGACAGCCTTGCGTAGGCTATGCGCGCATTGGCGTTTTGTATGCGCGTGGCAAGGATGACATCCACCCCTCTCCAGCATCCCCCCACGCCACCCCCGACACCGCGCGCGCGTTACCTGTCCACCGCTATGGCCGTCATGGAGTAGATGCTGGCGAACACCGCAGCCACGGGGATGAAGTTCTGGAAGCGGCAGTAGGCGCCACCAAAATACCAGTCGTTGTGCACCGCGTACACGAAGTTGATGCTCGTGTTGAGCGCGGCCATGGCCGAGTCGGCCACAGCCAGGTTCACCAAGAAGTAGTTGGTGACGGTGCGCATGCGGCGATGGGCCACCACGATCCAGATGACCACCATGTTGCCGAAAAAGGCCACGGCCACGATGCCACCGTAGGCCACGGACCACAGCGCGACCTGCCAAGGGCGCTGCGCGAAGCGATTGGTGGCCCCGCCGGCGCTCGCGTTGACGAGAGGCGACGACGTCGAGGACGAGTCGTGTGACCAGCTCGACGCGTTCGCCGAGCTGGCGGGGTCCCACGTGGCGTTCGGTTGAGATGCCAAACCCAGAGCGGTGGACACCACGAGGTGCTCCATGGTCTCTCCACTGCTGGTCCGACTACAACCAGCGACCGCTTTCTGTCAATCGGCTGAAGCGTCACACTCAACGGGCAAGGGGATGACGAGGTTGATGTGGGATTTGTGCTGTAAAGCGCTTAGAAGTTTGTAATGCGGTTAGAACTTGACAGATCATAGCACTCCGCCCCACCCCCTACGAAGTGAAACCAATCATCAATCCTCTCGGCCGGAATTTTTTTTGGACGGTGCCCAAATGAGATTTTTTTGGGGAATTTGAAAAAAAGATAGTTATACGCGTGGATTCGACTACTGAATATGCGTGCCAAATGTTTACATCTCTCGCCGAACACCAAGAGAATTGACTTCAGTCGCTCACTATCGCGGAATAACGAAAATTATCCAAGCAAAATCTATCACCGGGCATGCGATTCCAAACTTGAAATGCGTCTCTCAACACGCGGGTAGGTAGGTGGCTTTTTGAAAAATACGACCGTGCCGAGATGGACGCGTGTGATTAAGTGCAGCGGACACGCGAGTGTCGCCACGCATGTTTAAGCGCGCACACGCGAGCGGTTATCATCGCCGACATTAACAATGCCAAAAACAAGTCTACTACTCTGTAATTATGCAGTATACGTCCAACACCAATGATTGTTTTTGCGTGCGCGCGCGTGTGTGTGTAATCGATGCAGGATGTTAACTTAAACGTGAGACGGTGGTGTGTTTAAACAAGCGTGTCACGTTGCCAAGTTGTGTTGTCCGAAGGGCGATGGCAAGCGATATGAATGATTACGCGCTGGCTGCGTGGACAGCTTCGACGTGGGGAGGAGCAGTCTGGCAAGGTAATGGGTGTAGATGAGTGATGTTGATCCTGCTGCAGCTGCTGTAGTTCGTACCAGATTCGGGAAAATGAACCCGATTGTCTTGAAGAAGTCACCGATTCCCACCTCGACGCAACACGAGTACCTATCGCTCAGCGCTAAATGCCTTCGTGATCAACACACCAAACACAGACAGACAAAGACACCCTACCCCCTGTAGTCTTTACTCGGCTGTTGCGGCAAGTGCTGTTAGCGAGCACCCTTGAAGGTGGGCACGGCGCACGAGGTGTGAGGCGTAGCCAGAACCACACCTGGCCGCCTTTGTCTCCCCGGTGCTAACGTTTATACATTCAGCACTGAGTACTCATTTAAGGCCGAGTCTATCTAAGAGACGCCCAGGACTTGTTCAGAAATCGCTCGACGCTGACGCTATTCGCGGCCTGGAATCGGAACTCAGATCGTCGGGTTCGGAGCGCAGTGCAATAACCACGGCACCAATCGCTGTACCCCTCGCACGCACGGCACTCGCAATACGCATTTAGCTTCGGAACTCTTGCCTGCACTTGACAACACTAATCTCTCAACAATAACGCAGCCGGCTGGCTAACTCGCCAGCAACACGCTCTGCTCAAACACGTAGCGAACGGAATTATTCGTTGTTGTTGCTGCTGCTCGTATAACTGTCTGCTGCTTGATGCTGCCGATGCTGCTGCTGCTGCCCTTTGAAATAGCAGCAGAGACAGAAGAAGTGGCGCTTTGCTGGAGGCGGCGGTAGCAGCGTTGTCCGTGGCGCCTTGGAAGCCGCGCGCGGGGAGGTGGAGAAGGGTCGCCCAGCTCCGCGCTTTATGCTCCGCGCCCGGTGACGCCACCCCGCGTCACCACCAAACACGTCTCGTTCTCCACCCCCACCCCACCCCCCACAAACAAAATAAAATAAAAGCCTTTTAACATTTTATTTTTTTGCTCATAAATCTAATGCATCCAAGGGCCACTGCCAGAGTGAGTGAGGGTTGTGTGCCGAGGCGTTTTTTGTTGTTGTTCGTTGATGAAGAAGCCATATGAAGAAGGAATCCATATCCCGGGGGGAGGAGTACCCCCCCCCCTCCTCTTAAATTCTAAAAGTCTAAACAATGTTTGATACAGTATTTAACCTTATTATCAACTAAGCGACGGAATGGATATGCGGGCTCGCCAACCCCCCCCTCCCCCCGCTGAAACCTCAGCCCCGCGTTTGGAGGACAACAAATTAAACACAAAAAGCAGTTCTTAAGAAATTGAGGGTTCAATCTTGATTGAAACGTGCACAGCTCTAGTGGCTTCATGATATTGTCAGGAAGAGCGTTCCAGACGGCCGCAGTAGCGCATCTGAAAGCGCGCGACGATGCAGTGGTCGTCTTTGTTCCGATGGCGAGCCAAAAAGGTGTTAAAAAGAAAATGTTTTCAGTTAAATCAGCTATGAAGTTTGATTGATATGCAGCGAACACTCTTTTTATTTAGCTTAAGCTAAATTAAAGTATATTTGGAAGCGATGTCACCTTGATGCCTGTAGCAGAATTGGACCGCAATTGGAGCACCCAAGCAAAATAAAATAAGAAATGAACACGCGAGCTCCGCTGATATCTTCTGTGCAGCTTCACTCAAAGACAAATGCAAAACAAAGCGACTGCATACTGTATGCAGTGGTGAAACGGTACGGACACAGCCCTGCAAGTTCGTACTCACTCTAGGGAGCTATAGAGTGGGCCATCTCGAGAGCATCATTATCCCAGTCTCACACGCCGGCCAGGCAACTTGATGGAGGTGAAATTAACTACAATTTATCTCCATCATACTTGACCTGATACTTTACTAACTGTGGTGTGCCCAATTTATACTGCTGGGTAGACAGAGCCGGGGAGAGGGGGGGGGATAACGAGAATCGCCCCATTGTCCTACGCTGTCTCTGGCTTGCAAGTCCAGGATGCTAACCCATTGCCACAACGGCAGTTGTCCTTTTTTTTGCAATGACGCATCAACGCAAATACAATCTCGCCAGCCTCGCCAACGAGGACAGCCTTAAACCAGACGAATATGGAACGGACTAATACACACAATGTAATAAAAAAGGGTTATTGTCAAATAACGCAAGCCTATAACAGTATAGCCCCTAAATTTTGATTTGAAGCTTTCGTGACTGCAGGGATTCATATTCTTGGTTCTTTCGGTAAAGTCACGTAGAAGGGAAACAATAAAATAATACAAATATAAAACAATAAAATAAAATAAAAGTATAGACCCTAGTACAAATTGTTAGTTAAGGCCCCGATCATGTAAGAACACATTTAAAAAAATAATAATTATAACAACAATTGTTGCATTTAATAAAACAAATGCACCCCTTGCCCACGCCTCTAGTCAGTTCTACTCACCACGAATGTGTTGACATTGTATTTCACTCTGAAAGGGACGTCAGCATTGATATTTTTAATTAATCATTCAGCGAAAAAAATGTGTTGTGGAGTTCTGAGACACCAAACAATAAAAAATCCACCTTTTTTTATGGCAGGGACCATCTGCATTGTTAACTCTCCACGAAGTGATACCTGTAGTTTCACTAGGTGGTGGAATTTTAGTGACCCATGAGGATGATGATTGTGATAGATTGAGCAAAACCTTGCTCAGGACTGTCACATCATCATCATCAGCCATGGTCAATCCACTGTTGGACGAAGGCCTCCCCATGCTACTGCCATCTGATATCCCACGATGTAACAATACACGTAGCACCTGCACATGAATTTATTACAATCGTTCCATCTCCTTTAACTTATGTTCATAACAGGGACGTGCGGTCAGGGGAGGCAGAGGAGGCAGAGCCTCACCTGTCATACTCCAATGAAAATAGCTGTTACGAAAAGTAAAGAAAGAATAATGAAAATAAAATAGATATTAAGATTTTACACTGATCTGTGTTATAAATGTCATTTCTGTACGATTCCAATCATTTTTGTAGTCAAAATCGCCAAATTTGCGGAGCTCCGCTGCGAATACAGGAAGAAATGAGAGGTGAGGCAGTGACGAGCTCAGCCTCCCCTCTGATTGTGCAACCCCTCAGTAACTGGATGGAGCGCGGGCAATAAGCGCGTGCCTGTTACTATCTCAGTATGTCACCAATGTAATATTTGTAGACCCCTTCATTTCATGTCCTCGCCTCCCATTCTCCAGGTAACTGATTTCACGTATGTGTATAAATATAGTTAGGCTCGCTGGTCTCGTCATGAAACTGCAATGAAAAAGCACCAGGGGAGGCAGCTATCACATCTGCCTCACTGAGGGGGGCGTTTTAGACACGTGGCCACGCCCCCTCAGTGGTGCCACGCCCCGTCAGTGTGTGAATCTGGCTCTGACACTAGCCAGTGCCTCCCAAGCCATTGACCTTACCGCACGTCACTGCTTCATAAAAATAAATATATATTGATAATCCCAGTTGCCTAGCGAGTGAGCAATCCAAAATGGGGGTTTTACTGAACGAATGTCTGAAAAAAATACTAGTTTTTACCCTTTCTGGCAATACAACAGGTGTCATGGTATTCAAACACCAAATATAAACCTTTTGCAAGGAATCAAGTCTGCATTAGCCACACGTACTGGTGGTGGATATGCAAAGAAACATGCTCTGATAAAATATGCACATTATCACTGTCATCGCTGCAATTTACATGTCTTGATATGTATCAGCACGCACATCTCCATTTTCTCAGAAAGTACAAATGTCCTGTGCTTGCACATTACCGCCACATTCATGTGACACGAGCTTTTTCTTTTCTTGTATTTACTTGTAGAGAGATACATGACCTAATTCTCAAGATACACCAAAGAACCGATGTTAAGTTCTTACGTGGTGAAATCGTTGTAGTCGTATATCATTATCACCATTAGCTACGCACTATCCACTGCTGGGTTAAAGAAAATAACATTGCCATGTTCGGGACTGTGCGATGCAAAGATCCATATATATAGTCTACACAGCAATCGGATCGCGTTCCTCCGTCTGCGTGGTAGACAGGCCCGAACCGGGCCAGAGGTCCGGTCCTGCTGGGCCGCACCATTCTGAGGTCCGGTGGGGGGGGTGGGGGGGGCAGTCTGTGTGGGGAAATTGCAAATGTGCTCGGAGTAAACGAAAAATAAAAAAAATATTTTAAAATTAAAATAATTTTAAGATTAAAATATGGTACTCTCTCAGTTGCCAGCGAGTCTTCCATCTTAGGCAGCTCCAAAGATTGAGCGTCACCGGCCCCATTTGTGTGTTTTTTTGGACGCAGCCCAAATGGGCCAACGAGATCACACGGCAATTTGGAGCCGATGGGGTTACAATGGATGGGCCGAGTTTTTGTTTTTGTCTCAGTTCGACTCTTAGTGGTAGACATCCTCTTGGCTGTGTTCCCTCCTTTGCATGCCACTCTGTCATTAGTCTCGACCACCGACCATAATTCCTCCCGTTGAATTTGATCACGAACAGTAACGTAAAGCTGCACATCGATGTTGCTAAAGCATATGTATTACCCGCTGTGACATGGGTTAAGAGCAATGAATACCGATGAAGGAAATACGTATAACGAAAGTGACAACATTCGCAAAGAAGCAAGGAGCGATGCGTACAGCACTTGGACATACACGGAGAGAGAGGGAAACAGGAACACGTGCGATTCAGGGAGCAAACGCAAGTTCGAGACATCATGATCATGTTGATCGTTAGAGGTGCACATGGGCAGGATACATCGCTAGAAGTGAACATGTAATGTGCAGTAGTAGGTAATGTTCATATCTGTCTATGGAAATAATACGACTCGTGCCAATTCACAGATGTTCGTTTGTCAGCTTCCTTTAAACAGAAAACACCGGATTGTCTCAGGCTCCCAACAACGTGAGGCGCAATCTCCACCGACACCCCACTCATTCATTCTCTACACTTTCTGTGCACTAATTGGCATTGTCCAAAATATCAGCCGACATGATAGTATATCTGTCATAAGGTAGTGTGAATGACAAATTATGTATATATATTTTACATTTTATGAAGTGCTTGCAAAGTGCTGCCAACACATCCGTAATCTTTGATAATCGTTTTTGTTATATCTCAATTTCTTTTTGGGCCGCGAACGTAAAAGCGACGCCTCTGATACATCTAACGCATCCTTATCTTCTGCCCGTGACTCATCAACGTAATCAAACGTTTACCAGGTGTTTATATCTCCCCAATATGTGGTTCCCTTGATGTGCATGTCTGCTGTTCACCACCTTTATGTGCAGGTGCATTCACACGCTACACGAATCCAAGTTGTATCGTCCTGCGTATCAAAGGACAGACCCACAGAGTATAAGTACCGGCATGAACACAGTTGTGGAGTTGTTCCTGTGATAGTTTCAGTCAAAAAGCGTTTGAAATGTGCTCACCCTATTACGTTACACTATCCGCGCTTCAAGCTGGGAATTCCAAATAAGCCTAAGAATAAATTGACACAATTAATTTGGGGAGATAATGCGTGTTTGTAAAACCCCCAAACCCAATGATCTGCGGGTGGCAAGAATGTGACAGTACAGCACGTGGGTTCATAGAGACCTCTGTACAGTTTTTTGATTGTCATCTCTTTGTAGTGTGCCAAGTGAGTTTTCTCCGGGAACTCTCATTATAAAAACACAACACTCGTGACTTAATATTGCCAAACATTGAATGGCAAGGGCCCTCCTGAAAACAATCTTGAGACTCAGCTTTTCAAAGATAAACGAATTAACGGCTCCGTATAAATGGTCAAGTATTTTCCTGATAAATAATCATCTCCTCCTTGTAACAGTCC